TGTTAAGTGCTTTATAAGGCATTATTTCACTCTAGTGATCTCATGAAGAACCATTTAATCATTATAAGGCCCAATTTATAAATGAGGAAACTGAGGCTCAGAGAGGTCGCACAACTTGCCCAAGGTCACTCAAATAGTAAATTGCTGAGCTGGGCTCGGAACTCTGAAGCGTGCACTCTTTCTTTGGCTATTCAGGGTCTTTTGTGGTTCCATATAAGTTTTTGCTATACTAGTTCTAGTTCTGTAAAATACATGGTATCTTGATAGGAATTGTGTTGAATTTATAGATTGCTTTAGGTAGAATGAAAATTTAAATGATGTTAATTCTTCCTATCCATGACTATGGTATATGCTTCCACTTCTTCAATTTATTTTTTCAGTATTTTATAATTTTCCTAGTACAGGTCTTTTACATACTTGGTTAAATTTATTCCTAGGTATTAAATATTTTTTGAAGCAACTGTGAATGATATTTATTTTCTTACTTTCCCTTTCTTGATAATTCATTGTTGGTGCATAAATATGCAACTAATTTCTTGGTACTTATTTTGTATCCTGCTACTTTACTGAATTCATTTGTTTTAGTAGTTTTTTGGTAGAATCTTTAGGTTCTCTAGATACAGTATCATGTCATCTGCAAATAATGAAGGTTTTACTTCTTTCTTTCCAGTTTGGATGCCTTTTATTTCTTCTTCTTGCCTGATTGTTGTGATGAAAGCAGACATTCCTGTCTTGTTCCTGATCTTATAGTTTTTGCCCGAGGATAATGTTGGCGGTGGGTTTGTCATCGATGGCCTTTATTACACTGAGGTCTGTTCCCTCTAGTCCCACTTGTTGAGAGTTTTAATCATAAATCGGTGCTGAATTTTATCAAATGCTTTTTCTGCATCTCTTAATATGATCATGTGGTTTATAGCCTTCATTTTGTTTATGTGATGGATCGTGTTTATTGATTTGTGGATATTGTACCAACCTTGCATCCCCAGAATAAGTACCACTTATCATGCTGTATGATCTTTCTAATGCATTTCTGGATCCAGTTTGTTAATATTTTGTTAAGAATTTTAGCACCTATGTTCATCAGAGATATTAACCTATAATTTTTTTCTTTGTAGTGTCTTTATCTGGTTTTTGGAATTAGGATAATACGAGCCTGGGAGTCTTCCCTCCTCTTAAATGTTTAGGCTTGAAAAGGATAGGTGTTAGTTCTCTGAATGGTAAAAGTCACCTATGAATCCATATGGTCGAGGAGTTTGGCTTGCTGAGAGTTTTTTGAATACTACTTCAGTTTCCCTATTGTAGTCCGTGTATTCAGATTCTCTGATTCTTCCTAATTCAGTTTTGGGGCATTGTATGTTTCTAGGAATTTATCCAGATGGTCGAATCTGTTGGCATATAGTTGTTCATAATATTTTTACAATCCTTTGTATTTCTTTGGTGTCAGTTGTTACTTCTCTTTAATTTATGATTTTATTTGTTTGGGTCTCTCTTATTTTCTTGATGAATCTGGTTAAAGGTTTGTCAATCTCGTTGATCTTTTCAGAGAACCAGTCTTGGTTTCATTGATCTTTTGCATTTTTGTTTGTTTGTTTGTTTTGATTCTATTTATTTCTGCTCTGATCTTTATTATTGCCTTCCCTTTACTCACTTTGGGCTTCGCTCATTGTTCTTCAAATTCCTTTAAGTGTAAAGTTAGATGGTTTATTTGAGATTTTCTTGTTTCTTGAGATAGGACTGTAATGCTATAAATTTTCCTCTTAGGTCTGCTTTCATTGTATTCCATAGATTTTGGGTTATTGTGTGCTAATTTTCATTTCTTTCAAGGTATATTGTGATTTCTCCCTTGATCTCATTGTTAACTGATTCATTGTTTAGTGACATTATTTAGCCTATATGTCTTTCTGTGTTGTTCAGTTTTTTCCTGTGATTGATTTCTAGTTTCATACCATTATGGTCAGAGAAGGTGCTTGATATGACTTAAATATCCTGAAATATATTGAGACTTGTTTTGTGGCCTAACATGTGGTCTATCCTAGAAAGTGTTCCATGTGCTCTTGAAAAGAATGTATATTCTGCTACTTTGGAGTAGAATGCTCTGAAGATATTAATTAAATTCATTTGATCTAGTGTGTAATTTAAGGCCATGATTTTCTTGTTGATTTTCTGTGTGAAAGGTCTATTTATTAATGTCAATTGGGTATTAAGTTTCCCTTCTATGACTGTTACTCTCAATCTCTCCCTTTATATCCATCAAGATTTGCTTTACATATTTAGGTGCTCCTATGTTGGGTGCATACACATTTATAAGGGTTGGGTCATACTTTCTTATTAAATTGCTCCTTTTATTATTCTGTAGTGTCCTTTCTTGTCCCTTACTATAGCTTTTGTCTTAAAGTCTATTTTGTCATAAAAGAGTATTGTTACCCCAGTATTTCTCCTTTCCATTTGCATGAAATATCTTTTTTCATTCTTTTACTTTTAGTCTGTGTGTATCTTTGTTCTGAGGTGGGTCTCTTGTAGACAGCATATATGTGGGTCTTGTTTTCTAATCCATTTAGCTACGGTATGCCTTTTGATTGGAACGTTTAAGCCATTTACATTTAAAATGATTATTTATAGGTATATACTTATTGCCATATTATTCTTTTAACTATGTTTCTCTATTGTTGTGTTTTTCTCTTTTTCTTCTTAAAGCAGACCCTTTAACATTTCTTATAATACTGGTTTGATTATAACAAAATCATTTAGCTTTTTCTTATCTGGGAAACTCTTTATTTCTACAATCTTAATGGGTAAAGTAGTCTTGGTTGTAGGTCCTTACTTTTCATCACTTTGAATATTTTATGCCAATCACTTCTGGCCTAAAATGTTTCTATTGAGAAATCAGCTGATAGTCTTATATGAGCAAAGACCTGTCTTTCTCTGCAGCTTTTATGTTTCTCTTTGTCTTTAACCTTTGTCATTTTAATTATGATGTGTCTTGGTGTGGGCTTCTTTGGGTTCACTTTCTTTGGGACTCTCTGTGCTTCCTGGATTTGTGAGTCTTTTCCCTTCACCAGGTTAGGCAAGTTATTAGTCATTATTTCTTCAAATAAGTTCTCAATCTCTTGCTTTCTCTCTTCTCATTTTGGTACTCCTATGATGTAGATATTTTTATGCTTCATGTTATCCCAAAAGTCCCTTAAACTATCCTCATTTTAAAAATTCTCTTTTTTCCTGCTCTGAATGGATATATTTTTTTTCTACTTTGTCTTCCAAATAGCTCATTCGACCCTCTGCTTCATCCAACCTACTATTGATACCTACTGTGTATTCCATGAGCGGGAAGTGCCAGTTAGATTTATGGGAAAGTAGGGGGATTGGCCCCCATCCCAAGCCACACAACTCAGTCACTAACACCCACTGAGACTGCCCAGACTTCTATACCATGGCCCAGGCAGCTGACTTCTCAGCAGGCCATAAGCACCACAGGGTGAGATAAGAGGGGTCCAGAGGGTGGGGCTATTGCTTTCCCCCCAACTGACGCTGCATGGAGGGGAGTGGTCCACCCAAGAAAGATGGCATCTGTGGCATGGGAGAATGACTCAGCACAGGGATCCTGGCGACTGTCCCTTCAGTTCTCTCCCCAGAGCCACAAGCCCCAGATTCTCACACAACTCTTATTCACTCTGCCCTTCCTCCACCAAAGCCCAGGGTGAGTGGCTGCAAATGAAATTTTGTGCATTGGCCCTTTAAGAGGGTTTCTGTGTCTCTAGTAGAGTCGTGTCTCTCCCTGGTGGATGGAAACCCCACTGCTTTTCACAGTTAGATGTTAGGTGGGCACCTATTCCTGGCTCTGGTGCTCTGGCTTTCCCCGTGCTTCTCAGGGGAAACCCCTCACAGCTGAGATAGCCCTCCAGAACCTCAGCCACCACCCATGAGAGCAGGACCAGCCCTTTTCAAGTCTCTGACCTTTCTACCAGTCTTGATGTGGCTTCTTCTGTAATCCTTGGTTACAAGACTTCAGTCAGTTGGTTATTTAGGATGATTGTTCTATAATTTAGTTGTAAATCCAATTTGGTCCTGGGAGGAGGTGAGTGTAGCTTCCACCTACTATGCAGCCATTCTCCTCTGCACACTCTTGCTACTCCAGGGAGGATTGGAGAGCTGGGGGGCACACTTCCTGGCCTCCTCCTTCCACTAGGGTGCCCAGCTTGCATCTATTATACCTCCTCAACCCCGTTTAGTCTCATCTCTAACCTGGGATAGCCAAAAACCTGGCGTCTTCATCTGGGGGAAAGTACTTCACATCAGTGGTCTTATATGTGGTCTTTGCCTGTTTGTTATGATACTAATCAATAAACACAGGAGGAAGTCACTTTAATCCCTGATCCCCTTTATTGCTGGGGAAGAAATTGGCCTCAGAAAGTCTTTTCTTCAAGGATGTCAGAGTGGGTTCTGTGTTCTTTTTGCTTTGGTCCCCAAAGTGAGAGACCCCCAGTCAGCAGGATGTGCCTCTCAGAGCTCCGCACCTCTTCCGTTGGGCTCCAAGTCCCCTGGTTACTTGCCCCATGGTTCCCCAGCCTTTTGCCCTTCTGGCTCCGCCCTGAGCTCATGCAAATTATGACTCAGAGCTGGTGAAGGGGTTAGGGGACTGGGAGAGGCCACCAGAGCTGGGGCTTTCCCACAGGACCTTTCACTCAATCTGGGTGGCTTTTGTAGTTCCACATGGACATTATGGTCACTGCTTATCGAACACTTGGTGCTACTCTGAGTGCTTTATTGCCATGCATTCATTTAAGCCTCACAATGACTTGGTAGGGTGTGCTTTGTTCCCATTCTCCTGATGAGCAAATGGAGGCAAAGCAAGATTAGAAACACATCTCGGGCCATCATCTCTAAGTGCTGGAGACAGTGAACCTTTGCAATCTGAGTCCCCCCAGCTTCCACTCTTCCCTCTTAGTACTGGATGCTGGGGACATTTTAGAATTGATTTTGAGGGGGGTGGCAGGCTGGCCTAGGGAACATTCTATTGTGAAACACCCTGCTGTTCTACATGCCAGGTTGTAAGCAGCTGATGTATTAATGAGTGTACAGTGGCCGGTGGCTGGCCTACTCTTTTGTGTCCCCCTCAGAACTTGAACAAAAGACATGTTTATGGCTGTTGGGTGGGTGGGTGATTGAATTTTTTTCACCTGCAGGAAGCTCCACTGGCTCCCACAGCCGCTGATGTTAGAGAAGGGAAGGAGAGGGGGATGGAGGTGCAATAATGGCCCCTGCCAACTGGTCCCTTCCCTCCCATGGGCAGCTAGGTCCTGGGGTGCATGCCACGTCTCTTCCTTGGGTAGACTTTTGAGGCCAGCACTGAGTGCCTGTGGACCAGGTGAGGCAGATGGGCTCCCCCCTCTCTCAGTGGCCTCTTCATCCTTCTCCTGCCTGGCAGCCCGCCCCCCAGGGAGCAAGTCTTCAGTATGAGCTGAATTCACCTTTGATTACGGGAAGGTGGTCCTGAGGGCCAGCTGTGCTTGCATTTTCCCAGCTGCTGTGGGTTGGAACTCTATGGACCTACCGGGTTTAGAGACAGGAATGGGGAACCAGAAGTTTGAGTCTTGCCTCCAACTGTAGGCTGAGTACAGAGGCACACAGGTTAATTCTCACAGGCGTTGCTCTCTGCCTCAGGTTTAGGGTGCCCACGCCTGCTGCTACTTATCCAGGTACTCCACTGGCTAGCCCCCCCTGGGAGGAGGCTGGGGCGGGGAGACGGGAGGAATGGGAGGAGAGGGAAGAAGATGTAATGTACTGAGCTGAGAACACTCAGGGGAAGAAAGGATCTATTTTTTTTCCATTTGTTCTCAGCAAACATTTGTCATTTAATTTTTTTCTAATTACACAATTATGTAATTATGTAGTATTAGTAAAATAAAGCCTGAAGACGTTTGAGTAAAGAATTACTTAAGTAAATAATGTCTGACTGGGGTAATTATTTCCTGGGTTTTCTTTTTTTAAAGTAGAATTGGGTGAGATTAATACAGGCATTGTTGCAAGAGCTGAGAGAGGGTGGGGGCTGTATAGCCTGGGGGCAGAGATAAGGCTCCCAGGGCCCCTAGAGTTTCACTCCCAGCATTTTGCCATCTTCCTCTCTCTTTAGATGGGGTTCTGACTTCAAATTCCAACTCTGTGTTGGCTAAGTGGTTTGGGAACCGGCTTCTATTTTGAGCCTCACTGGGCCTCAGAGGGGAGAGTCCGTGGCCCAGTGGGTTGGGAGGATGAGGACTAGAACTCGGCAGAAGTAAATACGGAGGCTCCCAAAGAGGCAGCTTCATGTGAGGCCACTGGGTCCACTCCAGCTGCAGGATGAGGGGGCAGGTTCCGTGAACAGCTGGTAGCGATGTGGGGAGGGTCTTATGCAGTCAGCCCTGGGTCTGAAATGATGCCAAGAAGGCAGGCTTGTTCAAGGTTGGCATGCAGCTCCTGAAAGCCCTGGGGGCCTGACCAAGTTTCCTGGTAGACGTGGATCTGGCAGTGTGTTTGCCGGGCAGGAGCCAGTCCCCCCAGAAGGGGCCGGTTAGACGTGGGATCAAGAGATCTCCGGAGCTGTGTGGTGATGCTGCCAGGTTGCCGCCTGGCACCTGGCCCAGCCTGCCTTGAGGAGACGGAGCTCAGCTCAGGCATGGGAGCCCATTTCCCCACACTTCAGAGTCTGATGAAGGACCGACGCAGCAGCTTCATAAACAGGTGGGGAGCCAGCCCGACCCGTGCTCCCTAAGTCTGGCCATTCCCGTCTCCCTCAGTGCTGTGCGCCCTCGGCAGGGATCTGGGATCTGGACGCTGTTCCGCACTCCGGAGTCTCCCGCTGCAATGCAATGAGCCCTGGACAGGGCAAAGCCTTCAGGCTTCTCTGCTCTGTCCTTAGGAGAGCACAGCCTGTTCTTTCTTGAGTTTTCCGAGGCCTGAGGTCCCTGCTTCGTCCCTGGGAAGCTGGGGTGCAGTTCAGGATCCTCAGCCTCCATGTAGCACGGGGTGCTGGGCTGTTGGTGCTGCGTCCTCTGTCAGCCTCTGAGACGGAGCAGGAGGCGTGGAGTCTTCTCACCGGCGAGGCTTCGGGTCCTTGACTGTCAGCTCACCGAGCCAGCAGCCTTTGGAAGGAAACACCGGAGGCCCTGGAAGATTCCTGGATGTCCTGTGAGTGAGATGCCACGGTCATGTGGTGATCTTGGGTGAGGGACGGTGGAGAAGACCTTAAATAGAATAGGCCACAGCTGGTCCTGGAAGTTTTCTGGATTAAATACTTATTCAATAAAGTTCTCTCTTCACACAATATTTGCCTACACCAGTGGTTCTCAACCTTGGCTGCACATTAGAATCACCTGGGAATCTTTTTAAAATCCTGATTTCTGGGCCTCATCCTCTGGAAATTCTGTTTCTTTGTTATGGGGTGCGGCCACAACATTAGTCACAAAGAAACAGAATTTCCGGAGGATGGGGTCCAGAAATCAGGATTTTAAAAAGATTCCCAGGTGATTCTAATGTGCAGCCAAGGTTGAGAACCACTGGCCTACACAGAAAGCTAAATACCCATTGAGTAATTAGCCAGTTCAGATTTGTGCTAATTATAGGGATGGCAGTTAGAGGTGCCACACCAGGACGCCATTCGCTGCCAAGCGAGCCTGCCTAAACTCCTCGCTGTGATTCAGATTCAAAGAGGTAAAAAAAACAACAACAAAAAACAGCATTATTTTTGATAATTAAAGATTTACCGGAGCTGAGAAAATAAATCACACTAATGTTTCAGGCTAATCAAAAGCTTTTTAAAAAAAGTCCCAGGAGCCAAAACCGGTTTGGCTCAGTGGATAGAGCATCGGCTTGCGGACTGAAAGGTCCCAGGTTCGATTCCGGTCAAGGGCATGTACCTGGGTTGTGGGCACATCCCCAGTGGGAGATGTGCAGGAGGCAGCTGATCGATGTTTCTCTCTCATCGATGTTTCTAACTCTCTATCTCTCTCCCTTCCTCTCTGTAAAAAATCAATAAAATATATTTAAAAAAAAAAAGTCCCAGGAAAGATGTTGCTCTCAAAGCTTTGCTGCCAGTTCAAGGAGTTTCTGGGTGACACAGCTCCACGTGGCTTCCTGGAGGTCTGCGCTCGCTCCCACCACCGCCAACTTCACAGGCAGCCCGCCTTACACAGTCCCTCCTGGGGACAGCATTTAATTATGGTTACTTTCCTGCTTTGTCATTTTACATAGCTCCACTGTTATCCCCCCATCTCCACTCCCCCAGTAAGATGCTAAGTGTTGTCCTAACTGGTTTGGCTCAGTGGGTAGAGTGTCGGCCTGCAGACTGAAAGGTCTCAGGTTCGATTCCGGTCAAGGACATGTACCTTGGTTGCAGGCACATCCCCAGTAGGAGGTGTGCAGGAGGCAGCTGATCGATGTTTCTCTCTATCCCTCTCCCTTCCTCTCTGTAAAAAAATCAATAAAATATATATTAAAAAATAAAGATGCTAAGTGTCGTTTTTAGGGGGTGGAGGTAGCTTTGGGAGAGGAGGTATAGCATCTGAAATCCAGTTCTCTGTGAGGGAAGTTTAGTAACTGATTGTCAGTCGGTGTTCCAGTGATCGCACCCTGATAGGTGAGCCATCCGATACACCCCAACTGTGAACCTTTTGGGCAGGACGTACCTCTCTCAGGCTCACTTTTGGTTTTGAAAGTGCAGATGTTATGTAACTAACTACCTTACAGAATTCTTGTGAAAACCCAATGAGGTCATCACTGTGCAAACGGATTGTCTGCTGTAATTTGCAACATGAGTGTAAGGGCTGTACAAGCATAAAGTAACATTACAGATGACAATACCGTGAGCTGAAAATGGGGAGGGTAAGGCCATTCGAACTCGCCCCTCCTTATAGCAGACTCCTGGGCATCGTCTGCTTCATCTCTCTCTTTACCCCCAGGACCTGCCCCGCCCTCCGCAGGCAGTGGCCAGCGTGGGAGCTAGCCCGGCTCTCCCAGTCCCTGGCCTTCCTCATGTGCCCATGACCACAGCTGCTTGGTCCCTGGATAGCACCTGAGCCAGGCTGGGCCAACCTGAGAACTTTCCCAAGATTTTAAAAGCAAGACTGAGAAAGCCAGTCAGACCCTCTCTGCTTAAAGATGCTGTGAAGAGAAACACCCTAATTGTAGCAAGGCAGTGAAGACAGGCTGCATTTAACTAAAGCCCCTTCCCCCACCCGTGCCGCAAGCAGAAAACAGGAAACAAAAAACAGTGGTCACATAAAATAGGCATATAGGCTGCTTGAAGCAGAGAAGTTCAGAGGTGGGCAGGGCTGGGCTGGCGAGAGAGCTGTAGGCCCGCCCCCTGTCTTCCTGCTTCTCTGTCCTCTGCATCCAGCTCCCAGGCATCTCTGCGTCCACAGGGTGCAGGCACCTCAGGGAGCCTACTTGCTGTCCAGGCACTTAGAAGGACAAGAGGGAGAAAGAGAACTTGCCCCTCCCTTTTTAGAAGCCCTAAATCTTCTGATCACAGCTCCCTGGCTAAGTCACATGGCCAAGCCCAGCTGCAAGAAGGCTGGGAAATGTAGTCTTGTAGGTGGGAACCTAATAAGATGGGCTCTGTCCCTAAGGAGGGGAGGAAGACTGCCTGTTGAACTAAGAGACTAGTAATCCCTGCTCCTTGGAGTAATTCTGCCACATGGAGGAAGCTGGGCTATCGCATTATCTCTGCATTTTCCACAGTTTGGTTATTCAGTCTTAGCTCTGACTAGAGCAGTGGTTCTCAACCTTCTGGCCCTTTAAATACAGTTCCTCATGCTGTGACCCAACCATAAAATTATTTTCGTTGCTACTTCATAACTGTAATGTTGCTACTGTTATGAATCGTAATGTAAATATCTGATATGCAGGATGGTCTTAGGCGACCCCTGTGAAAGGGTTGTTTGACTGGCAAAGGGGTCGCGACCCACAGGTTGAGAACCGCTGGACTAGAGGAAATACTCAGGATTCTTTTAATAAATTCCTTCTTTTCTTTAAGAAAAG